TCAGAGTTGTTCAATGATACTGACGTAATACCGATGTTTCATGTTTAGTATGTCATGTCATGTAATAGCGATGCGCGCATGTGTACGTGCACAGTCAGGGGCGTAGATAGCGGGGGACAATAAATACTGGATATTTATCTACAAATCCGTCATCGCTATTCATACGCTCCTAATGTATTATTACAGAAATGGAACGTGACATACATCTACTGTAAAATGGCTGTAACTCGTTCCAAGAATGACATTATTTTACTGAAACTCAGACGGTTAATTTTGGACGCATTCCCCATATAAGATATTTTTTTCAAAATCCCCAAAGTCTTATCACTGCTCACGAAAGTTAAATCCTTGCTTTATTCAAAATTAGAATAGACCTATTGAGAGTTGGGATATTGAATTTTCACGGGGATTGAATGGGAAAATTCAATTTCATCTCGCTTTTTTTGGGGGGGGGATGGGGGTGCTGAGACCCGACCGGAAGTATATTCCCGATTTTGTATAAGGAGTGAAAATATGCACGTTTTGGTTCAAATCTGGTTGTTTTTTTCATATTTTTTTGCAGTTTTAACGTTTTGGGTAAAATATACGTTTTATCAAAATTTCAGGGGAGATGATTCCAGTGCAGTAGTTGTCAACGGGGTCGGTAGCACGGGGCGGTCGCCCCCCCCCCTAGAATTTTCAGGGCAAAGGTATTTTAGCCTAGGTAAGTCTGCACTGGTAACCCCAGTGAGGACATGTACATAGCACAGATTTGGTAGTAAGTATTTTAGTCTTTGGTGTCCCCAAAGGTAAAAATACTCAACTCAACAGTGATGTTATTGTGATGAAGATTGATTAATATAGTGCTGCCTCATAGTGCAGCCTCATAGTGCAGGAAATTGCATCGAAGAGGTGTTACATTCAACAAAATCCCCGGACCCCCCCCCCCTAAACAAGAGGGGGACACGCCCTGAAGGAGGAAAAATCCTGATATTCTATGATAAAGATGTCCAAAATGGATTGCTTTTAGATTGCAACTTTTTAACAATTCCACCCAGTGGGAGGTGGACACCCCGGGCGCTTCGTGCCCTTGAGCTCGCATGATTCCCCCCCCCACCCTAGAATTTTCTTCTGGATCCGCCACTGTTTGTGTGTGTGTGGGGGGGAGGGGGTTGCGTGTAATTAAACCTCTGGGATCCAAAGAAAAAAATTACTCTAGAATTCAAAAAATTGCACTTACAATATCAATTTTTTTCAATTCCCTCAAAAACGGCCATCTTCAAGGTTCTAAATTGCTAAAATCCAAGAGCTTCCGGGTGCTTCGCCCCCTGGACCCCGGGCAAGGGCTCTGCACCATGCCAGGGGCCCTAGGGCGGGCCCCTGGACCCCACCCATTAAGGGCTTTGCGCCAAAGCGCTCGCGGTGTACGCTACTTGCGCACTCTTCATTCGCACACAGCGAAATCATTCCCCCCCCACAACTGAGGACCAGTCTACGCCACTGTATATACATACATAGTATATAGCATATCCTATAGCATATCCTATCTATATACATACATAGTATAACATATCCTATCTATATACATACATAGTATCATACATAGTATCCTGATAGTATAACATATCCTATCTATATACATACATAGTATAACATATCCTATCTATATACATACATAGTATAACATATCCTATCTATATACATACATAGTATAGCATATCATACATAGTATCCTGATAGTATAGCATATCCTATCTATATACATACATAGTATAGCATATCCTATCTATATACATACATAGTATAGCATATCCTATCAGGGGCGGATCCAGAGGGGGGGGGTCGAGGGGGTCCGGACCCCCTTTTACACAAAAAGGAAAAAGCATACACACACGCACTCACGCACGTGCGCGCGCACACATATAACGATCAGAATTTTTTTATGGCGACAATATAAGAGGAAGTGTGCGCCTGTGTGTGTGTGATGTGTGTGTGTGGGTGCTGTGCATATGTCGTGTGTGTGTGTGTGTGTGTGTGATGTGTGGTGTGTGGCGCTGA